ACCATGTCCATAATTTACAAACTGATTATGCAAGCTTCGTACAAGGGAAATCAGAGAATAGTTAACCACTGTCGAAGACTGGTGAGCCAGCATGCATTTTATCAACTACACTTTCTTATATAGTTAGCTAAAAAGGGACATCAAGATCTACAAGTGCACTTTAATGGAAATGAATATTAAAAAGAACTATTTCCAGATAATGCTATAAAAGGCATTAGGAAGCAAGCAGGTGTTCTAAATAAGTATCATGACCTAAACAGAATGACAATGGAAATATCAGGACGTAGATAATATATTTTACTCAATATAATTTTTATTAAAACGTAAATAAACTTGAGATTTAGAGAAAAAAATGGAATGCTACAGTATTAATTTTCCTTTCAGTAAGAGACGGTTGTTGTTCTCAACTAAAAATGGACACATTCAATAGTTTGACAGCTTATTTAATTTTAGAAGTTAAGTAAAAGCAAAAGTTGGTTTGCATTGTGGATTTCCAGAAATATTAAAAATTCAGCCTTTGCTTCAATTATTTCTGGCTGTATAGAATAATAATCCAAGTTAATAACTTTAAGCAATTCTATTACAGAAATACTAATTACTTCCAGGTAAATACTTTTCACAGTACATTCAGTTCTCCAATATATCTTCTAATACTAAAACCACTACCAAAAAAGGATGGCTTTAATATACTAGGAAGGGTATACCTGGAATTAGAAAGAATTCTGATCTCAAACAAATGACTCATGAAACACTTGATATAACTTATCTTTACCTTTTCAATTTAAAAAAATGAAACTCTTAAGTAAATAAAAATAAAAGCCTTTTAAAAAATTTAACAAATGTATGTATTGAGTTCCTAGCATGTGTCAACTTGTTTATCAAGATAACATCAGTACCTGATGTCAAAATGACCACATCTAAGCTCTTAAATTATCTTGAAAATCATCCAATCTAAGATATTAAATTATCCTGAGATTCTCCAGCTCTCAATACAAGCCCTCATTTCCAATTCCAGCCCTGATCCCCTACCCCACATCACACACTGATTTTTACATGTTGCAGGAGTAAAGAACCAAAGCACTTAGGTTCCTGAAACAAGGTCTTTCTAACAATCATGCGAGCAGCTGAGAGCAGTTGGGGTAGGATTCAAACACAAAAGGTTTCTGCCTTTATTCTGCTCTCATCATCTGAATGCTAAAGTCAATATACCCAGAAACACAAATTCTTTATATGTAACTGTTTTCCTAAAAGCATCTTCAGCTATACCTACCCTATACCCGTCCATACTCAAAACTCTTTTCAAGCCCAAATTTCTAATATGTTCTTTGTCCTAAACAATTGCCAAAACCATTTTAGGATACCTGATGGACACATTATTAGTTGACTAAAACACAAAACCAGTCAACAAGTTGCGTTCAAATTCATTCTTCCTGATGACAGCCCCATTCATGTGTGCCAGAATAGAACTATGCACCACAGTGTGTTCAATGGTTAATTTTTTTAAAACTAGATCGCCGGAATTTTCTTCCAAGGAGCTTCTACGGAGACTGACTCTCCAAACTTACAATTAGCAGCCAAGAGTATGAACAACTTGGGACAACCAGGGGATTCAACGAAAACATAATTGGAAACTAATTATATTCATATGCAAAGCATAAGTAATTTACTTTTTAAATTTTTGTTGTTTTCTAGAAAAGTGTGCAGAAATGAATTAAAACATATGTTTTAAATTGGAGAATACAAAAATATCATTAACCTATTTTGAAATCATCAAAATGTTTCAAATATTTATAGAGTAAAATATTCCATGGAGGCTGAGTTTTATAATTTGATCTAAATTATTTAGACCTAAAAGATGACTTGATTACTTTGTTTTTAGAAAGGAGAAGCAAGACTAGCTTGGTTCAATAAATGGAGGCACACAGAATGAATAGAAGTCTATAAACAGTATTTTAAAGCAGGTATTTAACTAATGTTATCAACAGTCCTGTGATTTGTAACACAATTCAAGAAATCAAGCACATTATGATGCTTTTAAATATATATGTTAGAAATGTCAAAGAGTAAATTAGGAAAATTTTCAATAAACTATGATGGTATAAATTAGCTATAATTTAGCTAATAACAGCTCATTTCAAAATATATACAAGCAAATACTTATAAAAATCCATAGCTATACCTGTGGTGATTTTTTCCTTCCTCTTGTCTTTAAATTCATAAGGATGATAAAACATAAAATAAGATTAATTTTCTTCATCTGGCCCTGATTATATCCAAACTTTGGCTGTCTAAAAAAAAAAATAGGTGGCCAAATCCTAAAGGTATCTCTTTACCTCACTGTAGAATTTCCCCAGGCTCCATGCTTGTCTGTGAGAATGTTGATAACTTTCTGGATTAGCTGAGTTGCTGTCACATGGTCTCGATATTTAGCTGCTCTTATCAAATGATCACACATCTTCTCATCTTCTCGTTTGTCTGCAGAATACTGGGCACACAGTGACTGTGATTTAAAAAAGAAAAAAACATTTATTAATGCCACATAAATATGGGGAAGAAGTATAATATATATCATGAAGCGCTCTCAAATGGATCATGCCAAACAAATGTTAAAGCTATTTTTATATCCTATGTTAGCTAAACTAAGATTTTGTGATATACTTTCTCCATATAATATCCTTCAAAGTATTTCCCTGAAGTTTGATGATAAGATGTACTCAAGAATGGTTAATGAATAAAAAGGAGTCAGTCATGTGAAGATACTGGGCCCCATCATTCCAAGTGACAGGGCAGTTAGTTGAAAAGAACTTGAATAAAGGAAGAAGCACGTGTAATGAGTGTACACAGACAGGCAGAGGCTAACTCTAAAACTTGACCGCACAGTTCCTAATTGAGTAAAATGTAGTTATGAATGTCAGGCAAACTCAGAAGAGTTCATGGAACAGAGGTGGAACACCACTAATATCAAACGGATCTTGGCTGAAAACAGAGACCATCAGAAAGGCATTCAGATGTTTACCTGTATTTTACTTACTATGCAAAGACATTTCACTATATAAATCATAACTATGGATAACACCGAGAATATAAAGACTAAAACACTTCATTGTGTTCAAGAAGAACCTGTACATGAACCAAGACACAGTCCTTATAACAAAGCAAGAGAAGAAAGTCCGTTTTCAAAGTCAGGAAGAGTGTGTGTCAAGGTTGTATCCTTTCATCACACATATTCAAAATCTATGCTAAGCAAATAATCCCAAAAGCTGAACTACAGGAAGAAAAATGAAAGATCAGATTAGAAGAAGACTCATTAAGAACCTATGATGATGGCAACAAATGTACAAATGTGCTTGACACAATGGATGTATGTATGGATTGATAAGAGTTGTACAAGCCCCCAATAAAATGATTTAAAAAAAAACTTATGATACACAGCTTGGTTGCTGAAAACAAAGAGGATATGAAACACTTCCTAATGCAGATCAAAGGCTTTAATAAGGATTACATTTCAACATAGAGAAAACAAAAATCTTCAAAGATGGACCAATAAGCAACATTACAAGAAATAGAAAAATTTAAATGGTGAAGGCTTTCATTTTACAAGGATCCACATCCTATGCCCATGGAAACTGCAGTTAGATAATCAATGAATTGCATTAGGAAAATTTGCTGCAAAAAATCTCCTGATAGACCAGTGGTGTGAGTGGCGAAACAGGGAGGGTAAAGGGAGAATGGGTAGGAAAGAGGGAACCGATTACAAGGAACTGTGTGTGACCTCCTCCCTGGGGGACAGACAACTGAAAAGTGGGTGAAGGGAGACGTCGGACAGGGCAAGATATGACAAAATAACAATTTATAAACTATCAAGGGCTCATGAGGGAGGGGGAGCGGGGAGGGAGGGGAAAAATGAGGACCTAATGTCGGGGGTTTAAGTGGAGAGAAAATGTTTTGAGAATGATGTACAAATGTGCTTTGCACAGTTGATGTGTGTATGGATTGCGATAAGAGTTGTATGAGCCCCTAATAAAATGTTAAAAAAAAAATCTCCTGATAGTGTTAAAAATCAAAGCTATCACTTTGAAATCTAAGTCATAGTATTTTCAATTGCCTCATATGCCTGTAAAAACTCGACAATGAACAAGGAAGACCAAAGTAAATTTGATGCCTCTGAATTACGGTGTGTGGGGAAGAAGCTGTTTACTCCTTAGGCAAACAGGACAGGGCCCCCACCTGCCACGGTTCATGGCCCATGGGAGAAAACTGATGGCTCAGCCATGGGAGCTGATGAAGCAATGGCAGGCCTGTCTCTCTGCCTGAGATAAAGGGACGTTCATCTCCTGTTCCCTGACTAAAGCTGCAGAAGTCAGCAGTCTGCAAATACAACAGTTACTTCATGTTCTCAGCCTCATCCTCCCCTCCTGTCTACGAATAACTTGGCTGATAATGCTTCTTTGTAAACCTTCAAATTGTGAACTGTAACCTTTGTGTGACAACCTGTCACCTGTTGTAGGCTGTGTGCAGGGAAGATATTTAAAGTCTGCCCTTAATAAAGTTCAGGGCCCTGGAGTGACTACACTGCCCTGCACCCTAACTCTGGCTATCCCTTTTGTATGTAAGTTTCCTCCTGCAGATTGCACCGGCTCGAATCTTTATGTTATGTAAGATAAGAACCAGTCTCTACGTGATCTTACAATGGTGTAGGTTAGGAATGCTAAATAGACCTTGTGCCACGAGAAGAATGAACAAAATCTTAGTTGGAAGAAGTACAGCCAAAATGCTTCTTTGAAGCAAGGATGGTGAGAATTCATCTGAACATTATTTGCACACGTTACTGGGAGGAAGCAGTCACTGGAGAATGACACGTCATACTGGTAAAGCAATGGGTTAGTGAAACAGAGAAAGACAATGACACTGAGTTTCGCAGTGGTTGAAACAACAGGCTCAAGCATAAGAGTGATTTGTGAGGAAGACCAAGGAGTGATTTGTTGTTTCGCACAGTGTCACTGTGAGTGAGAATGGGCTCCACAGTACCTAACAGCCATAGATATGAAATGCTAAGTAAGAAAGCAACAGTCAAGAACTCAGAGGAAGTACAGAATTGGACAAAGCTGCTACAGAAGACTTCTTTAAAGTGCTGAAAGGCAAAGCTGTGACCGTGAGGACTCAGGTGCACCTGACCCAAAATACGGTATTTTCAATCATCTCGTATGTATGAAAAAGCTGGACAATAAAAAAGACCTGACGTCATTAATTGTGGTCTTGGTGAAACATATTGAATCTGCAATGAACTGCCAGAAGAATAAACACATCTGTCTTGGAAGCACTACAGTTAGAATGCTCCTTAGAAGCAAGGATGGCGGGACTTTCCGTCACATACTTTGGACAGGTAATAAGGTAGACCAGTCTCTGGAGAAGGACACCCCGCTTGGTAAAGTAGAGAGTGAGTTAAAAAGAAAAACAGAAAAGGAGGATGGGCCTCAATAAAATTGATTGCCACAATCATTGGGACAATAAATCTAACATGGTAATGATTTTGAGGATAGTGGAGGATTGAACATCCAACCTGTTGTATGTATGCCCATTCATATACTATGTGTTGGAACTAACTTGCTGGCACCTAACAACAACTAAGCCATGTAAAGGAATTTATATTTAATTTTAATGTAGTACATACCAAGTAGTAGATTACAAATAAATAAATTTAAATAAAGTAGTGGACTTTAATATTAAAATAAATACTGCACTAGTTATTTAGAGAATGGACCATAGCGGAACAAGAGAAATAAAGGAGGGAGACAAATAATTATAAGGCTATTACGGAGATGCCATTGGGGGAGGGGCAGAGAGAAAAAACAACAGCGTATTACAATGGTAAATGTAAGTAACTCTCAATACTTTGAGAAAATGGCAAGAATAATCTGGTCTCTATAAACCTAATTATGCAAAAAAAAGTACCTGCAGCAATGGAATCATCTAGGCATTAATTAGAATAAAGGATGTAAACCCACACTAAATTTACAATTAAAAATACTTTTAAAAAGAATACATTGATATGGTAATGATTATACAATCCTCCTTGATATGATTGAACAATTGAACTACTGAATTATATGATGTAAATTATGTGCTAATAAAACTGTTTAAGAAAGAAAAAAGAAACAATGTAAGAATAATTGGGGGGGGCCCTGCACATGCGAAATACAGGGCCCCACCTCAAACCTATAAAATCAAAATCTGAAATTCAATTAACTTACATATACATTAAAGTTTAAAGGTTTTACCAGAGATACCAATTTGGTGGGGGGGGGGGGGGTGGAATGGGATATTGGGATTCGTTAGTAATAATAAGAGCAATTGAATTACTACTTTCCAAGGTACTTATTTCTTTTCTTTTGGCATTTAGATACTTAAAGTGTCATGTTTATAATACTGTACAACTAGCTAAAACACTGCTTAAAATAGAGAAACATAAAGGTGAATGTAAACATGATCCTGGTGTCTGTGATGCATACATGGTGTCAGTGGGAAGAGACAGCTGGCACACGTTCCTCTCACAGAAGCAGGAAGAGCTGGCCCCTATGCCCTAAATTAATGTGGGTAACAATGCAATTCATATTGGCACACAGCTTTAGGGAAAATACTTAAACTCATTAGTGAAATAAAGAGTAAACCTCAAGATTTTTGTTGACTGGCCCTTCCTTTCTCTCAGGACATAAAAGAGTATGTACATGGCTCCAGAGGTCTTTGAAATTCTTTCTGTACCATGAATGATGTTTGAAAATAAAGCCTAAATCCAAACTTTTTAGGACTGTAACAACTACAGAAAGCATAGCTGACCATAGATGCAATCATGAATTTGTGGATCAGTTAAATATTAAAGATCATTTTACCTTCAGAGTTTTTAATTATAAGCATTGAAAATTTCTGATGCATTTATATGCCAGTATGAGTTAGGTTTCCTGTTACTTATATGTAAAAGCAACCCAACTGGTAGGTACTGATGCATAAAAAAATCAATTACATCACATTCTTGCAGTACTGTCAGGCAGACATTGAAGTTCCAGTGTAAAGGGTGGGAAGACAAACCCGCCAGTCACCCCTCAGGAGAAAGATGAGGCTATCTGTTCCCATGAACTTTCAGAGCCTCAAAGACCTTACATAGGATCACTATGAGTCGGAATCAACTTGATAGCAGGGAGTGGGGTTTTGCTTTGGCTGTGGGTAAAGCCTATTCCTTCTTGATGAAGAGAAGCAAAATGGTAATAAATGATTTGAAATAAAAAAGTAAACAGATATGTGCACAAAAATGCTAAGAAGGAAGATACAGGAATTAGAAAAAATAAGCTATGCTTTCATGAGCATTAAAAATAAAACTGTATAAAAAAGTCAAATGCAGAAAAAGTACAAGCCAATTTCAGGTGAAGCAATATAGTTTGACCCAAATATAAGATGTGACTTTGTACCAGGTCACAGATGTGAAACCCTCTGCGGAGCAGCGTGACT